CTTAGATTAAGAAAATGAAAAAAAAAAACTCCTTCTAAGAGAAAAAAGTTGTTGAAAAATTGATGTGACATGTGAGGTGAGGGAGAGAAAGAAAGCTTCACAACTGAGCAGATCCAGTAGCTGGAACCAATTATACGTCGATTTACATCGTGTGTGGTGGTTGTAATTATTTCATCAAATTGATACTGCCAGGCAACCACGTTACAAATGGTATAAAATCATAAATAGAAAATTGATAGCTCACCCCAAAATAATAGTAAGAAATTTGAGTTTAAAATGCCTTTTTAACAAGAATAAATTTAAGTATAAAATTATATTAGCATTTATAAGAAAATTGACTTAATAAGAAGTCTATTGATTATGAAACATATATAATATCACGTGAATAATGCTTTATATTAAAAAAGAATTAGTGTCTACATGAAAGAAAAGTTTGATTGATAAAACGATAAAGTTAGAAAAAAAATAGTTTGATCGATAATATGATAAAGTAAGAATGATAGACATATAAATATTGTTTTAAGATTTATAAATAACCTTTGCTTTTCACCTGTTTAAGAATTTGTAATCTTACTCCAACTTCTAAATATTTTGTTTTAAGTAGACAAAGATTAAAATTATAATTTTGTATTTATTAATTGAGATTGATAATAAAAAATAATATTTTATACCATAAATAAAAATATATATTAAGCTATAAAATAAAATATAAATATTTTTTAAAATGCATATAAATTAAATTTTCAAATGCATTTGTTTTGAAGTGAGGGTGTAGCATTTATCTAATTAATTGGCACCGTTATAAAATTTATCTAATTAAAAAATATATAAAAAAGTAAGATAAAAAAACTCAAATAAGATGTCACATGAGCACATTTATAGTTTTTTTTTTTACAAAATTATTTATATTAAAAAGACAAAAAATTAAAAAATATGAAAAAAAAAAGAAAAGAAAACTCATTGAGGCACTATGTAGACTTCTCATTTGAGTGAAAACCTATTAGATACAAATTATTTTGTTATTATTATCAATAGGCTCATTTGTTGTAAAATGTATCTAATTAAAAGAATAGAAAGAAAAAAACAAAGCAAATTGAGATGTCACTTAGGCACCTATATAATTTTTCAAAAAATTTATTTAAATAAAAATAAAGAATCAAAAAAAGTTTAAAGAAAAAAAATTAAAGAAACATAAAATAAGACATTAAAACCTTGAATAAGGGTTAGGCAAAAGTTAAAATAAACTAAATTTATATAATGGATGGATAAATTGATGGATTACATTTTAATTATACATAAATATAAATTATTTATTAAATTAAGATATTAAATAATAACATTATTAATGTTTTACATATATAAATATAAAATTAAATAAATAATTTAAAATATTATTTAATAAATATAATGAAGACAATAAAGAACACCATAAACCCACTTTCGACTCTACTTTTATTTTTCATAAAATAATCTTGATTCAATCACAAATGAAAAAGAACGCACCTATTGGATCCACACAAATCATTACTTATCATATACGAATTGTTTTATTATGTATACCTTTATTAATATTTTTTAAAAAAACTTAATTTATTAATTACCTTTGTTATTAATTATCTAATTAAAATAATAAAAAAACCAAAAATAACAAAAAAGCGAAATACAATTATATGTGTACACAAACATTAGTTTTTTTAAAAAATTATCTAATTAAAAAAAATAAGAATTAAAGGAAGAAAATTATTTTTAAAAGTATAAACATATGAAAAAGGAAAAAATTAAGTTGTCATGCGACATTATCAATAATAAGATTTTCTTACAAATTTTATATCATAGATTTTTATTTTTTATTTTGAATTTATTTTTTTATTTTTTCCCTTTTTATATTTAATATTTTTATTTTTATTTTTATTTTTAGAGCTAATTTGATGTTATTGAATTAAAATCATTAATCTTCTACTATAAATAAAAAAAATGAGAAAAAAATCGAATTTAGATGTAATGTTGACACCTTCATTACAATATTTTTTCAACAAAATTATCTAATTACAAAAAGGTTACAAAAAGATATTGTTAATCAATAATATAAAATTTGCCACATCCATAACAAATAAAAAAAGAAAAAGAGAAGAGAAAAACTTAAAAAAAGAGAAAAGAAACGACAAAAAACACAAAAAATAAAAAGGAAAGAAAGTTGAGTTGACACAAGGCACATAGTATTAGTAATTTGTTTTTTTGAAAAACTTTTATATTAAGTTTTAAAAAAATAAAAAAAAAATCAAATTCTAATATGACATTAACACTTATGTTAGTATCAATTTTTAAAAAAATTATCAAAGTAAAAAAGTAACTAAAAAAATATTTTTAATAATAATAATAATAATAATATCAAATGGGCCTAACATCAAAAAATAAAAATATTTCACAAATATTTATTAAATAAAAAAGAAAAATTGTAAAAAAAGCAAAAAAACAAAAAAAAGCAAAAGAAAAAGAAAAAAGAATTAAATTACTTAACATGTAACATAATTTTGATATTACGTGAGGCACCAAAAATGAAATTTAAAAAAATTATTTATTAAATATATAAAAATTAAAAATTAAAAAAAAAACACATAGCATATCCTTGGATTTAAAAAATATATATAAAAATATTAATTAAGCTTGTTTAAAAAAAAATTGATATAAGTGAATCTAACCAAAAAAAAAAAACATATATTAAACATTTAAAAATAAAAAATGAAAATTTATGCAGGACCCGATGAAAAAGAATTTAAAAACAAAGATAAAATTGGATTTCACAGAAAATACAATAGAAAAGTCGATTTCATGTTTTAAAAAATTATGAATATAAGGTTATAAATCTTATTATTTATTCAAAAGATATAAAAGATATAAAAAAGCTTTTCGTAAAAATATAATAAAAAAATATTTTTTAAAAAAATAATAAAAGATATAAAAAAATTTAAACTATATAAAATAAATAAAAAATTAAAATTAAAAAACCATTGAAAAAAAAGTGAATGCCATTTCAAATATAGTGAGCTCCACTAAAAATAAAATTGTTTTATAACAAATATATATATATATATATATATAGAAGCAAAAAGAAAGTGACAAAAAAAAAAAAAAAAAGCCAACCAGTGGCACAATAGTAAAATCTCATTTGTAACATTTCTATATAAGATGTGGAAAAATATGGCGTTATTATATTTGTCCACGCCATTCATGCAACGCGACAAGTTATAACCAATAGAATTAATTAATTTACAAATACAAATGAAATGCGGTAGCGAAAGTGTTAAAAGAAGGCGAGGCGGGGCCAGCGCACTTTGTGATGTCAAATTTATTCAAATTCAACGAGAAATAAGATATTTTATTACAATGAAAATGGGATGATATTTATAAAAAAAAAAAATAGCATGGCTATTAAATTTTGAGAAAGAAAAAATATATATAATTTTAAAATATTTGTCAAATATGGAGATGAGAACAAATAATGTAGTACGCTCTTGTATATGTAATCGATATATATTATATAGTTAATAAATAAAATCGTATTAGTCCTTCAAATATTTTAAGTTATTTGTAAATTTTTGTTTATTTTAAATTATTGTTGCTTAAATTTATTTTAATGTTTATTATATTTATTTTAAATATTTATATTTGATATATTACGAATGAATTACTCAAAGATATTTCATAAAATGCATTTAATCTTACAATAATTTACAATTAATTTTTTATACAATATTGTTATGTAATTAATTAACAATGAATATTATTTATAAATTCACATTACATCAAATCTAAATTTTTATTTTAATATATATGTATTATTTATAAGTTTTTATTTATTTTAAAAAATATTAAATATTTTGATGTTTACTTTTAATTTTTTAAAGAATCTCAAATAATGAGGATCTTTTATACGCGTTCAATTTTCATAAAGATGAAGACGAAAATTGGTATATATTTTTACTCAAAAAAATAGGAGTGCAAAAATATAGATATTTTTAACAAACAAAGATGAAAATGCAAAATGCTAACCAAATATCATAAGTATCAATGTCAGGTTCTATATGGTAAAACAAAATGTACTTGTGGAAAACGAAAGAAGAAATACCAGACTGCTCGTAAAGCGAAATATAGAAAATTTTAAATCATGTCCGGTAAATATACTTGATTGGTTGTCATGTCAAACATCATCATAATAAGAATTAATCAAGGAGTAGCATAATTTTAAATTATCCGTAAATAAATATGAATTACTAAGTAGAAATTTTATTTTGGAAGAAATTGAATCTCATAGTTTAAAATATAATATAAATATTAGGATATGCAAATGATATGATAAAATAAAATAATAAAATTTATAATTTTAATAATTATTATTATGAGTTTAATAAAGTTAAAAAATATTTTTTTATTTTATATTAATACAAATTATATCATGTGATTTTATATAAAAATAAGATAATCTAAATGAGACTAAGAAGTGTGGTCCTAAGCCATCACACTGTAAAAAAAATCATGCCTAATGACTCCCTTTTCAAGCAATGCACCCACTTTCTCACCAAATAATCATCATTTTCAGCGGTAAATCAAAAGGTGGGGTCGCTATGCCAAAAAAAAAAAGGTTGGTGGGTCGAAAATTGAAAATAAATAGTAACTAAGAAAAAGGTTAATGATTTTAATAATCTCTAAATTATAATAAAATATTTAATATAATATTTAAATTAAAAGATTTTAATATAGTATTTGAATTATAAATTTATAATTAATATGATATTAATTTTTAATATAATTATTTTAAATAATAATATATGATAGATAAATAATTTTTTAATTATCATATTAATTAATATATTTAAAATTTGAATATCATATTAAAATTTTTTAAAATTTTAATATTATATTAAATATTTTATTATAATAGAGATCATTGACTTTAGAATAAGAGATACTATTACTAGCTAGTATGTTGAGAACTGGAGTACCTTGGCATCAGATCCGGTGCTTCCAATGACTCTACAACCCTTGAGCTTAGCCAATTGTCCCGCAAACATTCCTACACCACCTGCCGCCGCTGATATGAAGACGTTTGAGCCTGGCTTTAGGTCTCCCAGCACTTGTATCCCCACCCATGCAGCAAACCCAGGAACCCCTGCAATATCATATCATGTACGTGTATAAAACCTATGAATCATTATCATATATAATTAGTGACAAAAAATAAATACTACTTACTAAACTATTCCTAGATGGAGTAGTTGCAAGTAATAATTAATTACCAAAACAACTGAGATATTCTGGCAAGGGAATCCCAGCAGCTGGATCAATCTTCCTTATCAGGACATCAGAAGGCACCACACAGTATTCGGCTACAGGGAAGAAAGCATTCAGCACAATATCACCCTCATCGTACTTATTATCCTTGGATCTGATTACTCTTCCAATTCCAAAAGCAGTTATCACCTGCTCGCCTCATTGAAGTATATACATATGCTTAATTTTTAACAGAGTAGTAGTACTACTGCAGAATTACAAACTAAGTAATAGTAATTCTTGGCTTGGGTTTGCTATATATATATATATATATATATATGTAGTAGGTATGAAATGAAATTAAGAAACAAACCTGGTTAAGGCTGAACTGCGGAAAATATAAACCATCGTCGTGGCCGCTCATTCGGGTACGAAGATAAGGATCAATAGAGACGAAGAGGAGTTCAATGGCAACATGGGCGTCCGGTATGGAATCAAGGGTAAGGGATAGCGGGACACTGCGGAGCTTCAGATGCTCGGAGGTTGGAACGCCTTGGGCTGCATACCCTGCTAGGTACCATTCTTTGCTCTCCGCAATCTCCGCCGTCTTCTCACTTTTTCTCATTGTATCCCTCTTGTCTCCGATTCTCTACAGACTGCAGTCTATAGATAATTTAATCAGCGAATGAATTCGGCTTCTAATGGAATACAGGTGGGTGAGTTTTGTTGGTTTGGAGCTCTAACTGCCAGCTTAATTTGTCATATGTGAATATTATCTTTCACCTAACACCTTAACGTCATAAACACGTTGCTCTTCGGATAGTAGAGTCCTGACAATACTATCTTATACTATTTTAACAGTGTGTAGATCGGTCAACTTATCAAGATAATACTAATCATAAGCGTTTCATAGATCAGACATATAACCAAGGTATTCTAGCGGTGTTCAAGACTCTGGCGCCTTCCTAGCTTAACGTCGAACTGATAGTCTGACTTTTATGGAGATATATCTTTCACTATAGTAACTTACTATTAGCAACTCTAGTTCTCAACCTTCTTCTTGTAGATCTTCTTTTAGTTTGTCTTCTCCTCCTTCTCCTGTATTTAAAAAGTCTTCTTCTTCTAAGTTTAAGTTCTTATATGAAGTAGATTATATCCTAGAAGAAAAGAAAACCCAACAAACAGTTTTTCCCCTTGTAAATCCTTATACAATTTTCTCAAACTCCTCCCATTCTCTTACTAGATCTTTAAAAACTCTTTTAAAACCAAAATTCTAAACTCCAAAAGAGTATGTTCAAGCCACAAACTTTGATCAATGTATTCTTCCAGTAAGACCTCAAGAGCACTTTGTTACTCATCAGATCCCAGAAAAATTTTCTCAATAATGGTCAGAACAAGGATACACTCATATCCACTTTGGTGCTATCAGAATAGCCTTAACCTTCCACGACAGAAATGGAATTTTTGTATGTACCAGAATGGCCTTATTGGACACAAGATTTAAAGAATACAAGCATGCAATCCTTGGCTTTTCCCTTCTTCTCAGAAACCTCACCTTGATGATGAATTTGATTTACCTGATGAATTTCTTAACCTTCCAGTGAAAAATCTTCCTCCAGAGTTACCAAGACTTCTTGTCACTCAAACCCTTGACCAAAAAGCCTTACACCTCTTGCTCAAATACCAGTCCAAAATACTTTCTTGTGCATTTATCTTAGAGGATGAGTTAACTGTGTAAGATCTGAGAAAATTTACTCATGTAATTTATTATACCGAGAAATTACTGGATTTGCTTCTTTGAAAAATCAGAAAAATCTACAAGTGTCTGAACAATGTGAGGTTGAGCTATGTACTGACCATCTTGTACATGCATGCCTAAGAAATCAATTTTTGAAGTACCAATGATCATTTTTTTCTCTGAAAGTATTATCCAATACTGTTGAACAATTTGCTGGAACTTATCCAATGGCGCATATAGAAGCTTCCTGGATGATGATAATGTTCCAAAAAAGCAAAAGAAGAAAAAATCTTCCCAGCAAAAACTCAAAGAAAGATATGAGAATTGAGACCTTGAAGTTGATCTCCTTGCTGAACCCTCAGGAAAGTTTGGCTACTATGTCATCTATCCATCCCTTGTAACAAACCTTTCTTTATAAAATATGTTTGGCTAAAAACTTTTTTTCTCTTTTGGTAATTCCATCTTCCTTCTTCTATAGTTAAAATTGTAGCTTCATATTTCTCTTCAAGTAATTCCATAGTTTATAGTTATATAAGTTGAGTATGCTTTGCAATTGCCATAATATTACGGATCCTCTGCATCAAAAATTCTTGTTAAACTGTTAAACAGATTATTGATCTCTTTCCTTTAGCCAAAAAAAAGTTATACTGACCTAAGATCATACTAATAGTAAGTTACTATAATAAAATACATATATAATTCCACAAGAAAGTGATATCCGATGATGTGAAATTCAAATCTTTGAATTCCATACTTTACAACTAAAATAATAAAAAAACCAAAAATAACAAAAAGCGAAATACAATTATATGTGTATACATACATTAGTTTTTTTAAAAAATTATCTAATTAAAAAACAAAAGAATTAAAGGAAGAAATTTTTTTTAAAAGTATAAACATATGAAAAAGGAAAAAATTAAGTTGTCATGTGACATTATCAATAATAAGATTTTCTTACAAATTTTATATCATAGATTTTTATTTTTTATTTTGAATTTATTTTTTTCTTTTTTCCCTTTTTATATTTAATATTTTTATTTTTAGAGCTAATTTGATGTTATTGAATTAAAATCATTAATCTTCTACTATAAATAAAAAAAACAAAAAAAAAAATCAAATTTAGATGTAATGTTGACACCTTCATTAATATATTTTTTCAACAAAATTATCTAATTACAAAAAGGTTACAAAAAGATATTTTTAATCAATAATATAAAATTTGCCACATCCATAATAAATAAAAAAAGAAAAAGAGAAGAGAAAAACTTAAAAAAAGAAAAAAGAAACGACAAAAAACACAAAAAATAAAAAGGAAAGAAAGTTGAGTTGACACAAGGCACATAGTATTAGTAATTTGGTTTTTTGAAAAACTTTTATATTAAGTTTTAAAAAAATAAAAAAAAATCAAATTCTAATATGACATTAACACTTATGTTAGTATCAATTTAAAAAAATTTATCAAAGTAAAAAGGTAACTAAAAAAATATTTTTAATAATAATAATAATAATAATAATAATATCAAATGGGCCTAACATCAAAAAATAAAAATATTTCACAAATATTTATTAAATAAAAAAGAAAAATTGTAAAAAAAACAAAAAAACAAAAAAAAAGCAAAAGAAAAAGAAAAAAGAATTAAATTACTTAACCTGTAACATAATTTTGATATTAGGTGAGGCACCAAAAATGAAATTTAAAAAAAATTATTTATTAAATATATAAAAATTAAAAATGAGAAAAAATTTAAAAAAAACACATAGCATATCCTTGGATTTAAAAAAAATATATAAAAATATTAATTAAGCTTGTTTAAAAAAAAATTGATATAAGTGAATCTAACCAAAAAAAAAAAACATATATTAAACATTTAAAAATAAAAAATGAAAATTTATGCAGGACCCGATGAAAAAGAATTTAAAAACAAAGATAAAATTGGATTTCACAGAAAATACAATAGAAAAGTCGATTTCATGTTTTAAAAAATTATGAATATAAGGTTATAAATCTTATTATTTATTCAAAAGATATAAAAGATATAAAAAAGCTTTTCTTAAAAATATAATAAAAAAATATTTTTTAAAAAATAATAAAAGATATAAAAAAATTTAAACTATATAAAATACATAAAAAATTAAAATTAAAAAACCATTGAAGAAAAAGTGAATGCCATTTAAAATATAGTGAGCTCCACTAAAAATAAAATTGTTTTATAACAAAATATATATATATATATATATATAGAAGCAAAAAGAAAGTGACAAAAAAAAAAAAAAAAGCCAACCAGTGGCACAATAGTAAAATCTCATTTGTAACATTTCTATATAAGATGTGGAAAAATATGGCGTTATTATATTTGTCCACGCCATTCATGCAACGCGACAAGTTATAACCAATAGAATTAATTAATTTACAAATACAAATGAAATGCGGTAGCGAAAGTGTTAAAAGAAGGCGAGGCGGGGCCAGCGCACTTTGTGATGTCAAATTTATTCAAATTCAACGAGAAATAAGATATTTTATTACAATGAAAATGGGATGATATTTATAAAAAAAAAAACATAGCATGGCTATTAAATTTTGAGAAAGAAAAAATATATATAATTTTAAAATATTTGTCAAATATGGAGATGAGAACAAATAATGTAGTACGCTCTTGTATATGTAATCGATATATATTATATAGTTAATAAATAAAATCGTATTAGTCCTTCAAATATTTTAAGTTATTTGTAAATTTTTGTTTATTTTAAATTATTGTTGCTTAAATTTATTTTAATGTTTATTATATTTATTTTAAATATTTATATTTGATATATTACGAATGAATTACTCAAAGATATTTCATAAAATGCATTTAATCTTACAATAATTTACAATTAATTTTTTATACAATATTGTTATGTAATTAATTAACAATGAATATTATTTATAAATTCACATTACATCAAATCTAAATTTTTATTTTAATATATATGTATTATTTATAAGTTTTTATTTATTTTAAAAAATATTAAATATTTTGATGTTTACTTTTAATTTTTTAAAGAATCTCAAATAATGAGGATCTTTTATACGCGTTCAATTTTCATAAAGATGAAGACGAAAATTGGTATATATTTTTACTCAAAAAAATAGGAGTGCAAAAATATAGATATTTTAACAAACAAAGATGAAAATGCAAAATGCTAACCAAATATCATAAGTATCAATGTCAGGTTCTATATGGTAAAACAAAATGTACTTGTGGAAAACGAAAGAAGAAATACCAGACTGCTCGTAAAGCGAAATATAGAAAATTTTAAATCATGTCCGGTAAATATACTTGATTGGTTGTCATGTCAAACATCATCATAATAAGAATTAATCAAGGAGTAGCATAATTTTAAATTATCCGTAAATAAATATGAATTACTAAGTAGAAATTTTATTTTGGAAGAAATTGAATCTCATAGTTTAAAATATAATATAAATATTAGGATATGCAAATGATATGATAAAATAAAATAATAAAATTTATAATTTTAATAATTATTATTATGAGTTTAATAAAGTTAAAAAATATTTTTTATTTTATATTAATACAAATTATATCATGTGATTTTATATAAAAATAAGATAATCTAAATGAGACTAAGAAGTGTGGTCCTAAGCCATCACACTGTAAAAAAAATCATGCCTAATGACTCCCTTTTCAAGCAATGCACCCACTTTCTCACCAAATAATCATCATTTTCAGCGGTAAATCAAAAGGTGGGGTCGCTATGCCAAAAAAAAAAGGTTGGTGGGTCGAAAATTGAAAATAAATAGTAACTAAGAAAAAGGTTAATGATTTTAATAATCTCTAAATTATAATAAAATATTTAATATAATATTTAAATTAAAAGATTTTAATATAGTATTTGAATTATAAATTTATAATTAATATGATATTAATTTTTAATATAATTATTTTAAATAATAATATATGATAGATAAATAATTTTTTAATTATCATATTAATTAATATATTTAAAATTTGAATATCATATTAAAATTTTTTAAAATTTTAATATTATATTAAATATTTTATTATAATAGAGATCATTGACTTTAGAATAAGAGATACTATTACTAGCTAGTATGTTGAGAACTGGAGTACCTTGGCATCAGATCCGGTGCTTCCAATGACTCTACAACCCTTGAGCTTAGCCAATTGTCCCGCAAACATTCCTACACCACCTGCCGCCGCTGATATGAAGACGTTTGAGCCTGGCTTTAGGTCTCCCAGCACTTGTATCCCCACCCATGCAGCAAACCCAGGAACCCCTGCAATATCATATCATGTACGTGTATAAAACCTATGAATCATTATCATATATAATTAGTGACAAAAAATAAATACTACTTACTAAACTATTCCTAGATGGAGTAGTTGCAAGTAATAATTAATTACCAAAACAACTGAGATATTCTGGCAAGGGAATCCCAGCAGCTGGATCAATCTTCCTTATCAGGACATCAGAAGGCACCACACAGTATTCGGCTACAGGGAAGAAAGCATTCAGCACAATATCACCCTCATCGTACTTATTATCCTTGGATCTGATTACTCTTCCAATTCCAAAAGCAGTTATCACCTGCTCGCCTCATTGAAGTATATACATATGCTTAATTTTTAACAGAGTAGTAGTACTACTGCAGAATTACAAACTAAGTAATAGTAATTCTTGGCTTGGGTTTGCTATATATATATATATATATATATATGTAGTAGGTATGAAATGAAATTAAGAAACAAACCTGGTTAAGGCTGAACTGCGGAAAATATAAACCATCGTCGTGGCCGCTCATTCGGGTACGAAGATAAGGATCAATAGAGACGAAGAGGAGTTCAATGGCAACATGGGCGTCCGGTATGGAATCAAGGGTAAGGGATAGCGGGACACTGCGGAGCTTCAGATGCTCGGAGGTTGGAACGCCTTGGGCTGCATACCCTGCTAGGTACCATTCTTTGCTCTCCGCAATCTCCGCCGTCTTCTCACTTTTTCTCATTGTATCCCTCTTGTCTCCGATTCTCTACAGACTGCAGTCTATAGATAATTTAATCAGCGAATGAATTCGGCTTCTAATGGAATACAGGTGGGTGAGTTTTGTTGGTTTGGAGCTCTAACTGCCAGCTTAATTTGTCATATGTGAATATTATCTTTCACCTAACACCTTAACGTCATAAACACGTTGCTCTTCGGATAGTAGAGTCCTGACAATACTATCTTATACTATTTTAACAGTGTGTAGATCGGTCAACTTATCAAGATAATACTAATCATAAGCGTTTCATAGATCAGACATATAACCAAGGTATTCTAGCGGTGTTCAAGACTCTGGCGCCTTCCTAGCTTAACGTCGAACTGATAGTCTGACTTTTATGGAGATATATCTTTCACTATAGTAACTTACTATTAGCAACTCTAGTTCTCAACCTTCTTCTTGTAGATCTTCTTTTAGTTTGTCTTCTCCTCCTTCTCCTGTATTTAAAAAGTCTTCTTCTTCTAAGTTTAAGTTCTTATATGAAGTAGATTATATCCTAGAAGAAAAGAAAACCCAACAAACAGTTTTTCCCCTTGTAAATCCTTATACAATTTTCTCAAACTCCTCCCATTCTCTTACTAGATCTTTAAAAACTCTTTTAAAACCAAAATTCTAAACTCCAAAAGAGTATGTTCAAGCCACAAACTTTGATCAATGTATTCTTCCAGTAAGACCTCAAGAGCACTTTGTTACTCATCAGATCCCAGAAAAATTTTCTCAATAATGGTCAGAACAAGGATACACTCATATCCACTTTTGGTGCTATCAGAATAGCCTTAACCTTCCACGACAGAAATGGAATTTTGTATGTACCAGAATGGCCTTATTGGACACAAGATTTAAAGAATACAAGCATGCAATCCTTGGCTTTTCCCTTCTTCTCAGAAACCTCACCTTGATGATGAATTTGATTTACCTGATGAATTTCTTAACCTTCCAGTGAAAAATCTTCCTCCAGAGTTACCAAGACTTCTTGTCACTCAAACCCTTGACCAAAAAGCCTTACACCTCTTGCTCAAATACCAGTCCAAAATACTTTCTTGTGCATTTATCTTAGAGGATGAGTTAACTGTGTAAGATCTGAGAAAATTTACTCATGTAATTTATTATACCGAGAAATTACTGGATTTGCTTCTTTGAAAAATCAGAAAAATCTACAAGTGTCTGAACAATGTGAGGTTGAGCTATGTACTGACCATCTTGTACATGCATGCCTAAGAAATCAATTTTTGAAGTACCAATGATCATTTTTTTCTCTGAAAGTATTATCCAATACTGTTGAACAATTTGCTGGAACTTATCCAATGGCGCATATAGAAGCTTCCTGGATGATGATAATGTTCCAAAAAAGCAAAAGAAGAAAAAATCTTCCCAGTAAAAACTCAAAGAAAGATATGAGAATTGAGACCTTGAAGTTGATCTCCTTGCTGAACCCTCAGGAAAGTTTGGCTACTATGTCATCTATCCATCCCTTGTAACAAACCTTTCTTTATAAAATATGTTTGGCTAAAAACCTTTTTTCTCTTTTGGTAATTCCATCTTCCTTCTTCTATAGTTAAAATTGTAGCTTCATATTTCTCTTCAAGTAATTCCATAGTTTATAGTTATATAAGTTGAGTATGTTTTGCAATTGCCATAATATTATGGATCCTCTGCATCAAAAATTCTTGTTAAACTGTTAAACAGATTATTGATCTCTTTCCTTTAGCCAAAAAAAAGTTATACTGACCTAAGATCATACTAATAGTAAGTTACTATAATAAAATACATATATAATTCCACAAGAAAGTGATATCCGATGATGTGAAATTCAAATCTTTGGATTCCATACTTTACAACTAAAATAATAAAAAAACCAAAAATAACAAAAAGCGAAATACAATTATATGTGTATACATACATTAGTTTTTTTAAAAAATTATCTAATTAAAAAACAAAAGAATTAAAGGAAGAAATTTTTTTTTAAAAGTATAAACATATGAAAAAGGAAAAAATTAAGTTGTCATGTGACATTATCAATAATAAGATTTTCTTACAAATTTTATATCATAGATTTTTATTTTTTATTTTGAATTTATTTTTTTCTTTTTTCCCTTTTTATATTTAATATTTTTATTTTTAGAGCTAATTTGATGTTATTGAATTAAAATCATTAATCTTCTACTATAAATAAAAAAAACAAAAAAAAAAATCAAATTTAGATGTAATGTTGACACCTTCATTAATATATTTTTTCAACAAAATTATCTAATTACAAAAAGGTTACAAAAAGATATTTTTAATCAATAATATAAAATTTGCCACATCCATAATAAATAAAAAAAGAAAAAGAGAAGAGAAAAACTTAAAAAAAGAAAAAAGAAACGACAAAAAACACAAAAAATAAAAAGGAAAGAAAGTTGAGTTGACACAAGGCACATAGTATTAGTAATTTGTTTTTTTGAAAAACTTTTATATTAAGTTTTAAAAAAATAAAAAAAAATCAAATTCTAATATGACATTAACACTTATGTTAGTATCAATTTAAAAAAATTTATCAAAGTAAAAAGGTAACTAAAAAATATTTTTAATAATAATAATAATAATAATAATAATATCAAATGGGCCTAACATCAAAAAATAAAAATATTTCACAAATATTTATTAAATAAAAAAGAAAAATTGTAAAAAAAACAAAAAAACAAAAAAAAAGCAAAAGAAAAAGAAAAAAGAATTAAATTACTTAACATGTAACATAATTTTGATATTAGGTGAGGCACCAAAAATGAAATTTAAAAAAAATTATTTATTAAATATATAAAAATTAAAAATGAGAAAAAATTAAAAAAAACACATAGCATATCCTTGGATTTAAAAAAATATATAAAAATATTAATTAAGCTTGTTTAAAAAAAAATTGATATAAGTGAATCTAACCAAAAAAAAAAACATATATTAAACATTTAAAAATAAAAAATGAAAATTTATGCAGGACCCGATGAAAAAGAATTTAAAAACAAAGATAAAATTGGATTTCACAGAAAATACAATAGAAAAGTCGATTTCATGTTTTAAAAATTATGAATATAAGGTATTAAATTCTTATTATTTATTCAAAAGATAATAAAAGATATAAAAAGCTTTTCTTAAAATATAATAAAAATTTTTTTTTAAAAATAATTAAAAGTATAAAAAATTTAAACTATATAAATACATTAAAAATTAATATTAAACCATTGAGAAAAGTGATGCCATTTAAAATATAGTGACTCCCACTATAAAATAAAATTGTTTTATAACAATTATATTATTATATATATATTAATTATAGAAGAAAAAGGAAGTGACAAAAAAAAAAAAAGCCACCGTGGCACAATAGTAAAATTTTCTTTTAACATTTCTATTAGATGTGGAAAAATATTGGCGTTATTATATTTGTCCCGCCATTCATTGCAACGCGAAAGTTATAACCAATAGAATTATTAATTTACAAATACAAATGAAAATTGCGTAGCGAAAGGTGTTAAAAGAAGGCGAGGCGGGGCCAGCGCACTTTGTGATGTCAAATTTATTCAAATTCAACGAGAAATAAGATATTTTATTACAATGAAAATGGGATGATATTTATAAAAAAAAAAAACATAGCATGGCTATTAAATTTTGAGAAAGAAAAAATATATATAATTTTAAAATATTTGTCAAATATGGAGATGAGAACAAATAATGTAGTACGCTCTTGTATATGTAATCGATATATATTATATAGTTAATAAATAAAATCGTATTAGTCCTTCAAATATTTTAAGTTATTTGTAAATTTTTGTTTATTTTAAATTATTGTTGCTTAAATTTATTTTAATGTTTATTATATTTATTTTAAATATTTATATTTGATATATTACGAATGAATTACTCAAAGATATTTCATAAAATGCATTTAATCTTACAATAATTTACAATTAATTTTTTATACAATATTGTTATGTAATTAATTAACAATGAATATTATTTATAAATTCACATTACATCAAATCTAAATTTTTATTTTAATATATATGTATTATTTATAAGTTTTTATTTATTTTAAAAAATATTAAATATTTTGATGTTTACTTTTAATTTTTTAAAGAATCTCAAATAATGAGGATCTTTTATACGCGTTCAATTTTCATAAAGATGAAGACGAAAATTGGTATATATTTTTACTCAAAAAAATAGGAGTGCAAAAATATAGATATTTTAACAAACAAAGATGAAAATGCAAAATGCTAACCAAATATCATAAGTATCAATGTCAGGTTCTATATGGTAAAACAAAATGTACTTGTGGAAAACGAAAGAAGAAATACCAGACTGCTCGTAAAGCGAAATATAGAAAATTTTAAATCATGTCCGGTAAATATACTTGATTGGTTGTCATGTCAAACATCATCATAATAAGAATTAATCAAGGAGTAGCATAATTTTAAATTATCCGTAAATAAATATGAATTACTAAGTAGAAATTTTATTTTGGAAGAAATTGAATCTCATAGTTTAAAATATAATATAAATATTAGGATATGCAAATGATATGATAAAATAAAATAATAAAATTTATAATTTTAATAATTATTATTATGAGTTTAATAAAGTTAAAAAATATTTTTTTATTTTATATTAATACAAATTATATCATGTGATTTTATATAAAAATAAGATAATCTAAATGAGACTAAGAAGTGTGGTCCTAAGTCATCACACTGTAAAAAAATCATGCTTAATGACTCCCTTTTCAAGCACCGCACCCACTTTCTCACCAAATAATCATCATTTTCAGCGGTAATCAAAAGGTGGGGTCGCTATGCCAAAAAAAAAAGAAAAAAGGTAGGGTTGCTTCACACAAAAAAAAAAGAGGTTGGTGGGTCGAAAATTGAAAATAAATAGTAATTAAGAAAAAGGTTAATGATTTTAATAATCTCTAAATTATAATAAAATATTTAATATGATATTTAAATTAAAAGATTTTAATATAGTATTTGAATTATAAATTTATAATTAATATGATATTAATTTTTAATATAATTAATCTTAAATAATAATTTATGATAAATAAATAATTATCTAATTATCATATTAATTAATATATTTATAATTTAAATATAATGTTAAAATTTTTTAAAATTTTAATATTATATTAAATATTTTATTATAATTCAAGATTATTGAGATCATTGACTTTAGAATAGGGGATATTATTTTATTATAATTCAAGATTATTGAGATCATTGACTTTAGAATAGGAGATACTATTACTAGCTAGTATGTTGAGAACTGGAGTACCTTGGCACCAGATCCTGTGCTTCCAATGACTCTACAACCCTCGAGCTTAGCCAATTGTCCCGCAAACATTCCTACACCACCTGCTGCCGCTGATATGAAGACGTTTGAGCCTGGCTTTGGGTCTCCCAGCCCTTGTATCCCCACCCATGCAGCAAACCCAGGAACCCCTGCAATATCATATCATGTAAATGTATAAGACCTATGAATCATTATCATATATAATTAGTGACAAAATAAATACTACTTACTAAACTATTCCTAGATGGAGTAGTTGCAAGTAATAATTAACTACCAAAACAACTGAGATATTCTGGCAAGGGAATCCCAGCAGCCGGATCAATCTTCCTTATCAGGACATCAGAAGGCACCACACAGTATTCGGCTACAGGGAAGAAAGCATTCAGCACAATATCACCCTCATCGTACTTATTATCCTTGGATCTGATTACTCTTCCAATTCCAAAAGTAGTTATCACCTGCTCGCCTCATTAAAGTATATACATATGCTTAATTTTTAACAGAGTAGTAGTACTACTGCAGAATTACAAACTAAGTAATAGTAATTCTTGGCTTGGGTTTGCTATATATATATATATATATATGTAGTAGGTATGAAATGAAATTAAGAAACAAACCTGGTTAAGGCTGAACTGCGGAAAATATAAGCCATCGTCGTGGCCGCTCATTCGGGTACGAAGATAAGGATCAATAGAGACGAAGAGGAGTTCAATGGCAACATGGGCGTCCGGTATGGAATCAAGGGTAAGGGATAGCGGGACAATGCGGAGCTTCAGATGCTCGGAGGTTGGAACGCCTTGGGCTGCATACCCTGCTAGGTACCATTCTTTGCTCTCCGCAATCTCCGCCGTCTTCTCACTTTTTCTCATTGTATCCCTCTTGTCTCCGATTCTCTACAGACTGCAGTCTATAGATAATTTAATCAGCGAATGAATTCGGCTTCTAATGGAATACAGGTGGGTGAGTTTTTTTGGTTTGGAGCTCAACTGCCAGCTTAATTTGTCATACGTGAACATTATGTTTCACCCAACGCCTTAATTAAACAAAAGCGATTGATGAGGCATTGTGTCATGAGCCAACTTTGTACCATGATCGGGGCTTAGGTTATCATGAGGCATCCATGTATAAGACCATGACCCGATAGATCTCTTGTGCTAGGAAAAGTATTCCCATTTCAAATATTATAATGATTAGTGGTAGCATAGCTCTAAAATCTCTAAGGCTCTTTAGGGGGTGAGCGAGTAGCGTACTGTTGGCCTATCTCACCGGTCGCGATATGGGCCTAGGCCATCCGCCAAGGGCTGCCTCCCTGGCCCTGGCGATGGTGGGAAGTCCCGATGTATTATCCTCAATTATAATAAAATTCACTTCCAATTCGAATGTCCTGAATGTTGTCTTGATGTGTTTTTCTTTTTGTTGATGTGAAAGTGCTTTCTTGTATGTGCTTGAAATTGATCTTGATATGAATGTGTCTTATTGTGTACGCTTGGGACTAACTGTGGCTTATGGTTATTTGTTCAGATATCGAACTATTGAGGGCTGACTTGGGTGGAAACGTCCATTCAAGTGACACACGGTCTATTGCTTGTTGAGAAAAAGCCTAGTTCGTGACATGTGGTATCAGAGCACGGTTGAGAAGTGTTAGAAAATAGAGGAGATGACCACAAGTGGTGGACCCAATTATCAACAGAGACTTGAGGAACTTGAGGTCGCGGTGGGCGTAGTGAAAGCTCACATGGTGACTAAAGATCGATTGAGGGAGATCGAGACAACCAAGTGGGAGTTGTCCGATACTCTCCACAATGTGAGCAAGAAGGCTAGAGATGCCTTGAATGTTCTCCAAAAGGAGTTTGAGGAGCTTAGAACACAAGTGAGCATCATACAATTGGCTGTGGCCAGATCGAGTTTGAGCTCGACGAAAAGGGAAAAAGGGCTAAGGTGCCGAAGCTCTGATGCTATGAGGGGGTAAGAGATGTCAAAGAGCTTGAAAACTTTTTGTTTGACATGGAGCAGTACTTTCGAGCTGTACACACAGATTCAAAGGAAGACAAGGTAGCAATGGCATTGATGTATCTCACAGGGGATGCCAAGCTATGGTGGCGCTCCAAGTTTGTCAATGACGAGTGTCCGATTAAGACTTGGACAGACCTGAAACAAGAACTGAAAAACCAGTTCTTCCCTGAGAATGTGGAGTATATAGCCCGAAGAAAACTTCAAGAATTGGTGTAAACAGGAACAGTGCAAGAGTTTGTGAGGAGTTTTTCTACCCTGATGTTGGATATTTGAGACATGTTCGAAAAAGACAAAATGTTTTATTTCTTTGAGGGCTTCAAGCCTTGGGCCAAGACAGAACTACAAAAACAAAAAGTGCAAGACGTGGCCACGGCCATAGCTGCAGCTGAACATCTCCATGATTATAATGATGGCTCCCCAAAACGAAAAAATCCTTCATCAGTTGGCAGTAACTTCAACCTTGGGAGTGGGGGAAAGATGACTAGATTGGACCTGCCTTTCAGTGGGGGATCAGATAAGAGGTCCTTTGGTCGAGATAGCACCCAACCCAAGACAAACAATACAGTGATTTTCAAGCCTAGGCAACCACTAGCTTGCTTCATATGTAAAAGGCCGCATTGGGTGGTCGAATACCCACACAGAGGAGCCCTTAATGCCTTAAAAGCCTCATCTCAAGAGTCCGCAAAAGCACTAGAGATCGTTGAAGAAGTTGAAGAGGAGCCAGCCAGGATGGGTTCAATAAGATTCTTTAATGCCCTTCACACCCAATTGAACACAATAAAGAAAGAGTAGGGTAGAGGCTTGATGTATGTGAACTTAATGATCAATAAGAAGGCCATCAGGGCCATGGTAGACATGGGTGTAACCAATATCTTCATCACACCAGAAAAAGCAAAAAGGTGTGGTCTCCAGGTTAACAAAGACTATGGGCGAATGAAGGCGATCAATTCGCCAGCCTTTGCGATCAGTGGGAGCTCAAGAGTATGATGACCAAATTGGGGCCATGAGAAGGGAAGGTAGACTTTACAGTTTCTCCCATGGATAACTTTGATGTCGTCCTCGGATTGGACTTCATGATGTTGGCTCAGGTGATCCCTATCCCCGCCACTAGTTGTTGTTGTTCTTAGGGGAACACCCATGTGTGGTACTGACCACTATTTTGCCAAAGAATGGGAAGAAGATGATTTCAGCTTTACAGTTCAAGAAAAAACTAAAGAGAGGGGAACCCTCCTTTGTGGCCATGCCGATTTACAATGAAGGATTGGGAGTGGAACCGATACCCGATGATGTGGAAAAAATGTTGAAAAAATTCAAAGAGGTGATGCTAGGGATGTTGCCTAAGGTTCTACCTCCTCGAAGAGCCATGGACCATGAAATTGAGCTCTTCCCAGGAGTTAAACTCCTTGCTAGAGCCCCTTACCGCATGGCTTCACCAGAGTTGGCCGAACTAAGGAAATAGTTAGATGAGCTTCTACAGGTCGAGTTCATTAGACCATCAAAGGCTCTTTTTGGAGTGCCAGTGCTATTTCAAAAGAAGCATGATGGAAGTTTACGATTATGTGTTGACTACAGGGACTTGAACAAAGTCACCATGAGAAACGAATATCCTATCCCTCTTATAGCAGATTTGTTTGATCAACTAAGTCGGACCAAGTACTTTTCCAAATTGGACTTAAAATTTAGCTACCATCAGGTCAGAATCGCTAAGGAAGATGAGCTAAAGACCACTTGTGTAACACGGTATGATGCATTTGAATTTCTTGTTATGCCCTTTGGACTGACCAATGCTCCTGTCACATTTTGTACATTGATGAATCAGGTGTTCCATGACTATCTAGATAAATTTGTAGTCATCTATTTAGATGACATAGTAGTATATAGCTCTACTCTGAAAGAACATCAAGAACACTTGCGCCAGGTATTTTGAAGATTACAAGATCACCAGTTGTATGTGAAAAAAGAGAAATGTGCATTTGCTCAGACCCAAATCCACTTTCTCGGTCACATCGAACGTGACCACATTCGAATAGACATGAAAAAGGTTAGGGCCATCAAGGAGTGGACAACACCGAAGAATATTAGTAAACTTCGCTCATTTTTGGGACTAGCCAACTATTATAAAAGGCTCGTAGAAGGGTACTCTCGTAAGATCACGGCCCTCACTGAGCTATTGAAAAAGGAGCATAAATGGTGTTGGACAAGTGAGTGCCAAAAGACCTTTGAGAGATTGAAGGATGCTATTATGAAGGATCCTATCTTAGCTCTCTCTGATATTGAAAAGCCTTTCGAAGCTCAGACGGATGCATCTGATTTCACTATTGGGATAATACTTTTACAACAACGTCACCCAATAGCATTTGAAAGTAGGAAGCTAATCGAAGCTGAGAAGAAACATACGACCTAAGAGAAAGAGCTCTTGGATGTAGTTCGCTGCCTAAGGGCTTGGCGATATTATTTGTTGGGTTTACACTTTGTCGTGAAGATAGACAATGCGGTCGTTAGCCATTTCCTCACTCAACCAAGGCTTACAGAGAAACAAGCTAGATGTCAAGAATTTTTAACAGAGTTTGACTTTTGTTTTAAGTACACCACTGGAAAGACCAATCAAGTGGCCGATGCATTGAGCAAACTAACAGAGTTAGCAGCCCTTAGAAGAATTACCCCAATGGCGACTAGCAAAGTCACGACAAATATTCTCAAGTTAATTGAAAATCATTTAGGAAAGGACCCGCAGGCCAGTGCCATCCTGAAGCTAGTTGAAGAAGGGAAGTCTAAGTACTTCTGGCAAGAAAATAGGGTTTTGTGGACCAATGGGCCCCTATTGTTTATGCTAAGAATAGGAGGTCTGAGATAGATGCTGATGAGAGAATTTCATGACACATCATGGGTCGGATATTCAGGCTGGCAACGTACTTTGGCTTTATTGAAACAGGGATACTATTGGTCTCATATGCGACAAGACATGATGGACTATACAAAGACTTGCCTCATTTGCCAATAAGACAAAGTTGAAAAGAAAAAACCTGCAGGCATGCTTGAACCACTACCGGTGCCCGCTAGACTATGAGAAAACATTTTTCTCGATTTCATTTCGGGCCTTCCCAAGGTTGGTGATCTTAGAGCTATTTTGGTGGTGATTGACCATTTCTCTAAGTACGCCACATTCATCCCCACTCATAAATATTGTACTGCAGAAGACACAGCTCGACTACTGTTTAAACATGTGGTCAAATACTAAGGCCTCCCTCAAAACATTGTAAGCGATAGAGATATGAGATTCACAGGGTCCTTCTAGAGAGAACTTTTCAAGATATTGGGGTCCCAACTTAATATCTCTTCAAGCTACTACCCTCAAACCGATAGTCAAACGGAATGGTTCAATGGGTTACTAAAAGAATACTTAAGGCACTTTGTTCAAGCCAATCAGAAGAACTAGCTTTCATTATTGGACGTTGCTCAACTTTACTTTAATTCCAACAAAAGCTCTTCCACTAACAAAAGCCCGTTTTAGGTGGTCTCCGGATAATTACCAAGGTTACCCCATACTTCCTTGGAGCAATATGGAGGGAATAATCCGAGAGCCTTCAACCTCGGCAAGAAATGGAAACAAAACATTAAGATTGCACAAGCTTACCTAGAGAAAGCATCGAAGCGAATGAAGAAATGGGCGGACAAAGGTCGCAGGGCGCAACAATTCCAAGTTTGTGATTTGGTTCTTGTTCGACTAGTCCCTGAATAAATCAAGTTCTTGAGAAAGAGATATCGTAGATTAGTGCGCAAATATGAGGGTCCAGTGAAGATCCTTTCCAAGGTAAGGAATGCTTCATACAAAATCGACCCACCAAAGTGGATGAAAGTGCACCCAGTATTTCATGTGAGCAACCTGAAACCTTTTCATGTAGATCCTACAGATGCTAGCCGAAGGGAGCCAACCAGAACCGCCATCACCATGAAGCCACCCTCAGAGCGTCGAGTCGAAGATATCTTAACCGACAGGGAAACCAAGGTATCTCGAAGACTAGTTCGTGAATATTTAGTGAAGTG